GTTCAGTTTAGCAATAGAACCACTTGCAGTACTAATTAGGGAACGCCAAGGTATTCAAGGGATCAAGTCAGGGACTCAGGAGACAAAAAACCCTTCCATATGCAGATGACATCCTCTCATTTTATTAAAAATTCAGATCAATCTACTCCAAATATCCTACAAACATTATATAACTCTGGCAAATTATCTGGGATAAGTCGTAAGCAATGAAGGTCTCATTGGATCTAGAGGGAAGTGACTCCCCTATGGTAACATTTAGATTGCAACAGACAAACCTCAGATATCTTGGCATCCTGCTCCCAAAGGAAATTAGAGACATAGTCAAAGTTAAACTAGCCACATTAATCATGCCATTAGCAAACAGTTTCTGCCTTTGGGGACCAATAAACAATCACAATGAATGCCCTTCCCAGGATCCTTTTTATTTTAACTTCCCTTCCTAGCCATGTTCCTTCCTTTTATTTTACCAAAAGCCATATGAAATGACAGAACTCAGCTGTCACCCTAGTGGCAATGGAGCTCATTTCAAAATTCCCATGAGAGGAAATATCCTGCAAAAGGGATACATTTTCCATGCATCAACCTGAAACTTTAATGCCCTCTTTTCAAATGACTGCAGCTCCTGGGAGATAGATAAACCTCCAGGGCACTGAAGGGTTAAACAACAACAACAAAAGTCATCTGCGTGAAAAGATCTGTACTGTACGTTCACCCAGTTTTATACTAAATGATAACATGTCGAATGCCAGGAAGCCCTTTTCAGGCAGTACGTTTCCTGTCTTGGCCCAGTTTTGAACAAAGAGAATAATAATATAAGAAACAATTTATTTTGTTAGTAACATTTTGAAGTCCCCTTGGAGGTTCCTGGACAGATCAGTGTGTTGAATAAAAGCTCCCCCACATCCCTGCAGCCTTTTGATGTTGCAGTGAAGACACAATCCTAGACGTGCAGTGGGGCTGAGTGAATGCATTGCCAAAAGAAAGTTTCCTTCACTAATCATCTGAGTTATAAGACAATTCATATGGCCCGTATTCACACCCCTCTTTATGTTTCTTTACCATAATGCTTAGTATGACCAAGTTTTATGAATAATGATGTTAAGGGGGGGAAACGTTTTAATCTCTCACTCTCCAGGACCCATGGAAAGGGAATTTAAAATCCACTATCCTGAAGCATGAGTACCAGAAACCTGATGGCAAAAGATCCAGCCAAGGAACAGAAACCCATTGCTCATAATTGACATGGGTTGAATTGTTCCTAGCAAGGCACAAAGTAAAACAAAATTCACAAAATATGTCACTGAATATTTTCAAACAACCAATAAACTGGAGAAAAAATGGGTTGTTTTTTTGTTTATCCACAGTCTGAACAGAAAGAGGCTGTAGACACACATCCTTACCTCTAAGGCACCCCTCTCTGCCCTTACACAGCATTGCAGGGGCTTTTGCTTCCCACTCACCCTCTGGTCACCATTTGCTCGGCCTCAAGGATAAGTCCCAGCCAGTCCATTTTCTGGGCTCCCTTCCTGGGAGTTCTGTGACTCAGCCCTCCGGCCAAGTCGCATGCAGTTCAGTCCCCTTCCTGAGCCAACTCCAAGTCCAAAAATCAAATATTCTAAACTAATAGTCCTTCTGCCTCTGTTGGGCTCTACCATAATTGTCTTTCTTCTCCAGAAGGATTCTCCTACTGCCTCCCTTCCCAAGGGATTCCATCTGCTTTCCTTAGGTGACCTCCCTACTGCAAAGCTTCTCCTACAACTCCTAGGTCTTCTGTCCCTCCCAGGCTTCTCTGTTATACTCTTCCTCTCTTAGGCCCTAGCTCTGGAGTCCTCCCCCGCAGGTGCCTCCTCTGCTCCTGGTGGGTGTTCCTGTCTGCCCTCCCACCAGGATCTCCTGACCTCTGTTGCATTCTCAGCTCTATTGAAGGTCTAGCTCCACCACCTCTGCCGACCAGGAGGCAATTAATCAATCACTTCCAGGTATGGCACATGACTAACTGGGGTCAGTTTCTAATGAAGCTCCATTACACCTAGCCGGGGTCACTAATTAGTTCTTAGTTTGCCAGCTCCTGAGAGAGGCTGAGGGATAGCTGCTAACTCAGGAGCGAGGCTGAGCTCAGTTTGCCTCAACAGCCCAGACAGCCCATTACAGAGGCAAAATTCTCCAAATAATGGTTTTCTGCAAACTAGAACACAGCAAACCATCTCAGCAGCTCACTAGGTGAGTGATTGTGATGCCGTGAACACAGGGCTATGACTTCACTGCAGGATTAAGAAGGAACAGCCAGAATGGAGAGAGAAAGCATTTGTTTAACTACAAACCTCTATGCTTAGCACAAATGGATGGAACACTTTGTAAAATGCTGGATAAATCCATTCTATACATGGGACACATTTTAGAGTGTTGCACAGAACAACTGACCATCAAAAATAGATGTGTGTTAAAGGAAGCAGTTAAATGGAGTATTTTGGTGAACAAGTATCTACTGAATAGCTTTGTGCTGTATTTCTATTCTACTTTCCATTCTACTTTCCACTGTTAAGATAACAGAAGACGCCTGGGACAAGGTGGGCGAGCTAATGTCGTTTATTAGACCAACTTCTGTTGGTGAGAGAGATAAGCTTTTAAGCTTACACAGAGCTTTTCTTCAGGGCTGGGAAACGTATTTAGGCCATGTCTATACTACAAAATTAAGACCTAATTTACACTGGCATATAGCTGCCACAATAATTACATCACTTGTGTGTGTCTATGCTTTGCTCCTTGTGTCAGCGGTGCGTGTCCTCACCAGGAGCACTTGTATCGATTGTACTGTCAGTGTGGGGCATTGTGGGATGGCTCTTGAAAGCCGGTGACAGTCAATGTAAGCAATGCAGTGTCCACACTGACCCGGCATCAACCTAATTACATCAACCTTGACTACTCACAGCTTGTGGAGGTGGAGTTAAGTCGGCATAGCAGGGCAGTTACATTGGCAGGAGCAAAATTTAAGTGTAGACACTTCCATAGTTAGGTCAACGTAAGCTGCCTTGTGTCAATCTAACTCTGTAGTGTAGACCAGACCTCAGAGTGGCACAGCTAAATACAAGGTGGAACAGATTGTTTAGCATACGCATTTAACACATATTTTTTCAAGGGGCCATTCAAGATGAGGTGGCCCTGTAGCACCTCTCCAGTCATAGGGGGGACTGGAGAGGGGAGATAAGGCAGCTGGGGAGGTTGTTAGTGGGTTATAGAGGAAGGTTGCTCACTGGCACCTTGCTCAGGATTGAGGTCAGTCTAATCTATTATCTGGTTTGACCTTGTAAATGAATGACAACAGTTTTAGTAAAAGTTCACTGGTTTAATACATGGGGCCAATTCTGCCCAGACTTACAGCTTATGTGACACCTCATTGACTTCAGGGGTGTGTGTGCAAAGGGTGCAAGTCTGGGGAAGAATTTTGGCTTAGGGGGTCTTGGATTTTGAGATAATAATTGCAGCCACATAGATTTAATTGAAGGTGTTAATAGAGTAAATCACCACGCTCCATATGTTCAAAGCACAGCCGTGTGACTTTGCTTAAGTTCCACAAGCCACTAATACAAAAAGTGAGAATGAAAACATTTAGTCTTTCTATCAGCTGGTAGTTTGGGGTTTCTAGGTTTGCGATTTAGGATCTGTTCTTGTTTATCATGAATAATCATCTGTAGAGCGGAAGCTGAACCAAAGCAACCCAAGCTTTAGGGGTAATTTCAGAATCCAAACTTGGATCCAGTTCCAAAATGTTGGAAATGGTCCCTCCCATTATAATGGGCCAAACTGAAATGCTAGCTCCAAAGTCCCATGATTTTTGAGGTGTTCAGGATGCCCGTATTGAATTTTGAAGCTTGAACTCACACCAATGATGTAGTGCAAAGACCAAAAGTAAAATTTGGTCTATTTCATTAATTAAGGTACATGGTGCTGTGCATGAAAGATGCATTTGGAAATTATAGCAGGAAAATACTTCTACCAGTTAATTAAAATGCACTTCCATTAGATTCTATTAGGTTTTGGAAAGAAAAATCTTGCTTCAAAGAGCATAAAACGGAATAGCCGGTCCTGCTCCCTATAAACATTTTAATGGAGTTGGGTTCACCACAGTGGTGCCTAAAGACAAACTCTCTTAATAACCTTAATTAGAAAAATGAAACTGTATCATGCAGACTGCAGCAAAATACAAACCTTGTGTAAGGAGGCTGTTGGCCCCTTACTGAAACTTAGTGCGTTTTTTGGTTGGCCCTCTTCCAATACCAGGAGAAAGGGGAAGGGCCGAAAAGGAGTCAGCATTCTGGGACTGACAGAGACCCTGTGATAAATGAAGGCGGTGGTGGTGGGGAGTAGCTCCCTTTTATGGACACCCAACCAGCCAGTTAGCTATAAAATCCCTCTTGATAGCAGTTCTCTACTTGCTTTACCTGTAAAGGGTTAAATGTCTGACTGCATGCAAGGTAAAAGGAAGTGAGTGGGCAACTGGACAAAAGAGCGAATGGGAAGGCTAGAACTTTTTAAAATTGAAACAAGACTCCCCTTTTGCCAGTCTGTGATTGTTCTCCCGGAGAACAGGGACAGGGCTGGAACTATGTTGTAAGAGCTTGCAGCAGGTATGAAAAATCATTAAATCATACCTAGAAACTACTCATTTAAACCCCAGCTATGTAAGTAGATCAGGAAATGTCTAGGAAGACAGGATTAGGTTTATCTCTTTTATTTCTTTTGGCTTGTGGACTCCTCTGTGCTAACCCCAAATGCTTTTGTTTTGCTTGTAACCATTAAGCTGGACCTCAAGAAAACCATTCTTGCTGCTTAATTATTATATTTGCTCTTTTTAAATCTAGCATTAGCTTAAGTCCCGGATGTATTTTCTTTCTTTTTGTTTTTAATAAAATTTACCTTTTTAAAGAACAGGATTAGGATTTTTATGTCCTAAGAGGTTTGTGCATATGTTGTTTAATTAGCTGGTGGCAACAGCTGATTTCCTTTGTTTTCTTTCTCAGCTCTTCCACAGGCCAGACCAGACCAGACAAAAAAAAAACGGATCAAGGCTTGTTTATATCAAGTGCTTGCAAGGTGGCCAAGGACTTTTGATGGGAACTGGGTGCACTGAAGGTAGATTCACAAGGGGGACTTAGGCACCTGATTGCTACTTTAGGAGGCACTGGTATTCACAAACCTATGACTCAGGTGCTGCCTAATCCTGTAGGCATCTAAATGTCCTAGGAACCTAAGTTACCAGCAGCAAAGCCCCATAGGGACCTACATTTCTGCTGTTTGGCATGCATAAAGCTACCAAAACCCTGACACCGTCAAGCTGCTTGGTATCTAAAAGCAGGGGGTCCTCAAACTAGGTGTTTTCCTGCCTGTCTCCCCAGCGGGACCTGATCCAGCAGGGTGTTAGCATGGCACTCACCAACAGGGTTCAAGTCCCTGCTCTGAATCAGGCAGGGGGAGTTTCCCACATCCTGGAAGAGTGCTCTAACCATTGGGCTACTGGGGTGAGGCACCACCACATTTCCTGAGAAAGGGCCACACCTCTCTCTTTGGCATTTCTTATTGGCTAGCTTAGGTGGCTCCCCACATGGTGGGCTGGCTTCTGTGCATCATTTTAAGGCACCTAACTGTCCTCATGCATTGTACAGGGAGACCGGGCACCTAACTCAAGGCTGTGACTAGGCTTCAGGGTGCCTAAAAGTTAGGGGTTGCAATTCAGAGTTGCCACTCCTAAATCCCTCTTGTGAATCTAGCTCTTAGCACCTTAGAGGATCGGACCTTTAAAAATTGTAAACCATCCGCAATCCAGGAGTAACTCTGAAATGTTGGACGTTCCCATTGCATGCAGCAACATTTCCTTTCCAAATAGAGTCAGAATCTCTCAGTGTTTGAGGGATCCACTTAGCTGACTGCTTCTTAGTGATTTATGGCATTCCATTAACTCTTAAAATGTTTTGGTTTTCTTCCAGAAATGAAATTATGCAGGCCGAGTATCCAGAACTGGAGAGCACCCTTTAAGACATTGAAGAGGAAATGCAAACAACTGAGGAATTAGAGTCTGAAATCTGGTTAGTGTTAACATGGTAATCCCTTTTGTTCATAGCTCTGTAATTAATTGTGCATTGTGGTGGAGATGAAACTCATCGATTTATTACTACATCAAAACAGAGATTATGAGCCTTCCTGTAGGAAGGGTTAACCACTGTGGCAGATTCATCCAGCTCAGTAGAGTGATGAGTTCATGAAAATATGAAGTGGGAAATGTAGCCAATGTTACCACATTGAATGCTGTAAACAATGGCTCAAAGGCACGATTCCTTTGATGTTCAAGAACTTTGTGTTTGACCCTTTGGAGTTGGAAAGGGCTCTAAACCATAGATGAGAAAATAGTGGCTCCCACCCAGGGTTGGTTTTGACTGCCACCTAGACCAGGTGGCTGGGGATGGGAAGTGACTGAATGACAGTCCCGGGCACATTACCATAACAAAGGCCAGAAAGTGCTATCTGAGAAGTTTTTAAAAAAAGAGCAGTTGGAGCACTTTGAGAGAAGCAAAGGGGAAGACACTGCAGTTGAGACTCTGAACACAGAGCTGTTTTGCTGGAGTTCTACAGTTGCTATGCTATTTTTTTGAGATATAGGCCGGGTGCTGCGTTTCCCATTTAATATCCCTGTTCAGCAAGGAATCAGTGCAAATCCAAAATGTCCTGACCTGTTAGTAGCTGTGACACATCCATAGTAAAGGATTGGCTCTGGGTCAAACTCACTGGGTAAACCAGAGTTCAGCAACTATGCTTTCTGCACTCTGTCCCTCCCCTCAAAAAAAAAAAAAATCCTACGGCATTTGTAATAAACACTTATCTATCTCTAATGACACCCTGTATTTTAAAATGTCTTGGGGAATGGCTTGGATATCTACATCTAAGGCAGTGGTCCCCAAAGGGAATGTTCAGGGAGGCATGGCTGGGGCCCTGGCCACCCCCCACGGGGCCCACCCCCAGCTGTAGCCCCAGCTTTGGCCCTCTTACCCCTGTCCATGTCCCTCCCATACCCTCCAAAGCCGCGGCCCCACTCCTGGCCCCAGCTCTGAGGGAGGGGGAGGGACGGATGTGGACATGGGTAAAGCGGGGTGTGAGGTAAAAAGTTTGGGGACCACTGCTCTAAGGCCATCTATCCCTAATAACATTTTAATGGTTCCATACTGCTAACTGAGGCAACGTGTTATAAAGCCAGAGAGCAGTTCACCGCCAAAGGCTGGATAGACCAACATCATATTTTGAGTAGATAGACCAACATCATATTTTGCTGTTGCAGTTTCTAGAGTATTGTCTGAAAGGTTTAGGCAGAATCTACTGAGCTAAAACCCCACTTTTCAAATACCAGGTATATATAACTGACAGTACAAACTTCAAATGGAGCAGTAGAACCTAACAGGAATACAATAGTAAATGTTAAACAAACTATTACAATTATTTTGTATGTCAAATGTACCATGTATAATTGCATAACAGTTTTCCTCTCACTTTCCTGATTTGCATGTGGTTTTTTAATCCAATCTTTACGATTATTTGAACATACCATAGTATTTTAACATGTAGAGTAAGGTCTCTCGGCTGTGATTAGATTTAAGTTTGTACTGTAACCCCCTTTGCACGATGTAAATTAACAAAGAAAAATCTAACCGCAAGCTTATTAGTGTACAATAAGTGACAAGTAATTTAATTACTTCCCAGTTGCTAGTGACAAATCAAATTGTTCCTTCTATTAAAATCATTTATACATGTAGGATTTACAAGTCAGCATGTAATACACATGACAGATTAGTTCATTCTGTACATAAATACTAAAGACTGCTCTAAAATTGGGTTAGTTACAGGTTCAAAACCATTTCAGTTCAGCTAATAGGGATTGACCTAGCTTTCGGATTTTACTTGGAAGTCAGGATCAACAAGCCTTTTATTTGTATGTGCAGTACATTACTGATCAGCTACAGATGGGGAGTCTTTTTTGGAGAAGCTATGCCACATTTACTATAATCTTACCACGTATCATTCACCTGATATTACCATATGTTCTGCTGTTGCATGCCAGGGATACCTAGTGAAATGCACTCAGGTGATCTCAATTTATCCTGTAGTGAGTGGATTTTTATCCTATGTACAGTAAAATCATCAATAATAAAATAAATCAGGTCACTCTAACGGGAATTATTTTATGGTGTTTTGGCTCAAAGACGCACAGTCTGATCTGTGATCATATTTTTAACAACTGATCCAAACTGTTTTCCATCCATTATTAAAAATATGACTGGTAAAAACGGGGGGGGGGAGAGGCGGGGAAAGGAGACAATTAGTTTTGTTCTATTTAATTTCTCTGTTGTTGTAGAATAAATATAAAATTAGAAATTTAAAGTTAGTTTAAGTTTGGTTAAAGAAATATGTATTGTAAAGAAAGGCACTAGCGAGTAACTAGCACTTAGGTATTTTCCTTTACTACTCTTAATTTACCACAGGGTACATGGTGTTCTTTTTACCAAATATCTGTCTATACTTGGGTTACTTCCTTCTCTATCCAAAACACCCACAGCAGAGGCGAATCAAATATACAGCACGTTGAAGCTAAGCTCCTACAATAGTAAGTCCAACAGTTATACTTTTTAATATTATATTTTTACATTACAGAGTTAAAACTCAAGAGATGCTAAGCCTAATGTCTACACATTGCTCCAAAATCAAATGCTATGAAAATTTTAGGAAGTTAACAAATTCTGCTATTATATTTAATAAATCCTTCTTTAAAAAAAAAAACACAAACATTTGTTTCCTAGATTTACTTGCAGTAAATCATTCAGCCACTAGATGTCTCTCTTTGTTTGTTTGGAGTACCAGACAAAGTGTGGAGCCAGGTAAAAATGGAAGACAAAGCTGGAACTCAAGTCACGTGGAAGCCTATTTGTTTGATTGTAATAGTCTTTAATAAATGCCACCTGTGTATGAGAGATTGTGATTCCATATTAAATGACACTCATTTAGCATGGCTTAGAAAATTTTGGCTTGCAAAAAAACCCACCTTCCTCAAAATGGAGAGGTGTCAGACTGCTGTTACAGGGCCTTGGAATTTCAAAGGCCGGGCATGAATTCAAAGGGCAATATTCTCTTTTAACAGCTGTCTGTCATAATGCAAGGATCGCTCCCCCGTGCTCGAATACTGCACAGGAGATGCCTCTACTGCACAGCAGTTGATGTGAGAATTATTAAGAGATATTGGCAAGAAACTGGACAGGAATTTGGAAGCTGTAACAGCTTTGGCTGCATGCGCATTTTGGGAGACCAAGGAAGTAACCTGGATGACCCAATAGATCAGAATCAGGACGACTCTCTTATTGAAAGCAAAACAATTGCTTACCCATGGATTACTATAGATTCAAAGAGGGGGTGAAAGGAACAAATGTAGGGCCAGATTCTCAGCTGGTGTAGAGCAGCATATCTCCACAGAAGTCAAGGCAAAAAATGGCTGCCAAAGCCATAGCTAAACGCCGCAGAATAGTTTATTGTGGTGAAAGATGCTTCCAGGATAACAGCAAGGAAATGGCAACAAAGATCAGAATTTTGCAGAAGTATTATTGCATAATAGGTGGAGTTATGTGACAAATTCATTCTGAATCCAGCCAAGATGACAGAATCCATTGCACACCTGAGTAGGATGATGAGACAAACTCTATATGTACTTCTATGGCCCCCATTCCAACAGTATCTGACAGGGCCGGCTCTGGCTTTTTTGCCGCCCTAGGCAAAAAAGCCACCCGCCGCGCCGC